AAAAGAAGAGAAGAGTGTTTAAAATAAAAGAACAGTAATTAAAATAAATGAGTACGAGACTTTCCAAGCAAAATCAAGGAAGACGTGATTCAAAAACGAAGCCTCTGCGATTCCAATAATAATATCAAAGGAAAAGTAACAAGAAGAAATGATTTAAGTGAAGCATGCCGGAGAGTCGTCTGAACACATAATTTGAAGAAAAATATAGAAGAGTGATTCAAATGCAAGATGCAAGAGATTCTAACAAAATATTTTAAATTAAAAGAAACGATTAATAGTGATTCCAATTGGGAGATGTCGGACATTAAAAAATGAACTTAATAGCAAAGGAAAGGACAGTGTTGCAAATGAAGGATGTCAGAGACTTCAGGAAAAAAAACTTTGAAAGAAAATAAAGGGAAATGATTCAGATGGAGAATACAATGGATTCTAAAACTAACGTAAAAAATAAAAGAAAAAAGGGAGCGATCTAAATTCGGTATGCCATGTTCTCTAAAAGGGACCATAAAATCAAGGAGGGTGATAATAATGAATGAGGCCAAACACTCCAAAACAGGACTTCTAAAGACTATGATTCCAATGGATGATACCAGAAAATCCAAAACAGGACTTATCAATAAATTATAATGATCAAATTGGAAGATATTAGGTTATATACAAAGCATATCAAAATGAAATATAGGCTGGGTGATTCGAATAGAGGACACCGCGGAATCTAAAGACTTCGTCTTTAAAAAATAACTTCAACACCAATCTTAGGGAGAGTGATTAAAGTGAAAGAGTTGATTTATTTAAAAAATATCAAAAGGAAATAAAGGTGGTGGGAGCGGTCAAAATGTAAGGACTGTCGGAGACTCTAAAAAGACTTTAAAATGGACAAAAAGGAGAGTTATTCAAATGTACGATATCGGAGAGTTTAAAAGCAACTTTTACAATAAATGAAGAAGATTAATTTAAGGAAAATAAGGGAGAAAAGTTATTGAGACTGACCATTGCAGGAAGGGAAATGAAGATTTAATTAAACACTTGATAGGTGATAAATCAGGTAAACATAGGTACGTACCTACTTGAAAAGCCAATGCAAATATGATATCAGCAACACTTAATTCAGCATTTATTTTAATATAAGAAGATCTTAAAGTCATTGATGCGGATATTCTAGTATTGAAGTGACGACGAAGCAAAATGAGCAAGATGTAATTGAGGGGAAAAGCAGATTCCACTGGGTTTTGAAACTCTCAGAGAGACAGGCAGTTAACAGATGTCCTTCACTTTGAGCCCGATTACTAAAATGTTTGCTTCCATGTGACGTTTAAAATAAGGATTTATAATATGTATTGTACCTTTCATTTCGAGAGAATGTTCGTTTTTGATATTTACATAAAAATGAGAAAACTGGTTTAATATTCTATATAATTGGACAAAATTCCTACAAGTCAAACGCCAAATGTGGTCAAAAGATCAACGAAATGTTTTAATTTTTGAGAAATTTTCTGACAGGTTTGACTTCAGATTTTTATCATACCTAACATTATTTTCGTCAGAGGAAATATGCCAAACAGTTTTTAAACTGCAGTTTGAATTGTCATCCTAATTTATTGTATTAGACCAATTAGCTATTCACAAACACAGACACAAGGTATTAGACACATGGAATGTCATTATTAAAATAAAGACAAGACGTCCCTCATTGTTCGAATATGGAAAATGTAAAACATTTAAATAACAACATAGACGTTCGCCTAAGAAAAGGATATTAATAACCATCTTTACAATCTAAATGGTTAAATAGAATTCACAAGTCAGGACGCGTATTTAACGTGTAGGCAAATATGACTTACAAGCCAACAGGGCTTATAATCTAACGTAAGAAATCAAGAAAGTGCATTTTGTTGTCTTCTTAAATCTTGAATTTCTTGTTTATCACTTTTGAGAAATCTTTGATCGTCTTTTATTAGATGAGATTTGATACCGATGCCCTGAAATTATCACCAAGACATCTTGAGTTTGTGAAGCACAGATAAGTCATATTATCAGTTTGCTCAGTTAAAATAATACAATTTATATTCTAATGGGTCATAAAACTTGTCCTTGTCCTGTGTACTCGACTTTGATCATGATTTGTTGTTCAGAATCTACAAACAAAATGTTGCGTTTGTGAAGCTATGAGTTTTTCGAACTATTAATAGCAAATCACAATGAATTGCTGGTGCTTGAAGCCGTAGTAAAATGTGCAATAATAGAGTTCTTGTTACCAAAAAATTAATGTTCCATTTGCTAAAAACAGCTTTTCAAGACATATTTTGTATTTCGGCTCCTTTGAAATGCAAGGGAGTGTCTGGATCTTGTGCGGACAAATATGATTCACCATTTTCCTCTATCACCATTTCAGTTTGAAAGAACTACTTATGCATTAACGTTAATAGCTCCAGTTTTGAGGATGGGAATGGGAAGCGGGTGTGTGTGTGTGTGTGTGTGTGTGTGAATGGATAGTGCAGTCATATTCTCGTCCTGTTGTTTTGTTTTGTTTTGTTGTTTTGTTTTGTTTTTTTTTGGCTTTTGAAATTGTATCTACCTCTGTCGTGCATGCATGAGAATAATAGGAGACGGAAATAATTTCGAAAAGTATATCAATCAATTTATCTATCTGTTTATGTCTCCAGTCTGTTTTTATGTCCAGCTATTTAGTTTTTCCTTTCAAATATCTCAAACAATATTGGTAACCTCTGTAGCAATTTTATCGGTCAGTGAATAATCAGGATGTTGTAATGTACCTGCTAATGTTGTCCCTAGTTTTTCGAAGCCCTTGGTTAGAATAAAAGATTTCACATGATAGCAATGTACACAGTATTTGGTGATACTTTGAAATTTTAACTACAATGGCTGGGAAGGTGAGAGCTGATATTATTACTTTATCATTAACCAGCAATCGCACTGGTTAAAATGACTAGTAATATATGTCATATCTTTTTCACTATGTGAGTTAACGATTTCTACTAAAGTAACCATAATTAGTAAGGGTCTTGGAAGCAGGGCCTATGTATCCCATTATGAGTGATTTATTCATTATATGAACCAAGCATATACTTTTGAAAGGAATACTTTGTTCAACATGACGTGGTCAAATAATATAATTTGTATTTCCTTGGATGTAAATACCATAATTTAAGTGTAAGTCATTCTAGGGTCTCATTCCATATTTAGTATAGTAATACAATTAAGGCGAATACGCATTTGGTTATAATGTCCCGTTTAAGAATTCTTAGGTTTGTGTTATTACTTGTTTAATTATTGGAATTCGGTGCAATGGGAAATATTCTTTAGCCTGAAATAATTAGCCAATTACTAGGAGCAAACGTCACGAAGAGAAAGTGCTAGTGGGTTTCCATGATGCCATGGTCAATGAGTAGTAAATTCAGACCCAATCCGCATGAGTGACCCTGCAGTGATGTAGTACTTAAAAATATATAATGGTGTACATTGGTTGTTGTGACTGCAGTGGCACAGTTAGGTATTAAACCGGTAAATTATACAATGGAATACATGAGAAGGGACACGGCAGATACCGTTTATGTCACCGTAGTGGCAAATGTGATATATAGTTTTATTGGCGTGATGTGCCTTGAAAGCATAGATTTACTGGCCTAAGGTGGCGTAGTTAAAATAGTTCCTTGTGTTAGGAATAGTTGTAGAAAAAGCTGATGTAAAGAAACTATGCAGATGTGCGGTTGATGGATAATTGGCAAGTTGTAAATAACGTGGTCTTGAATTGATTAGAGTAAACTTTAGGTATAGAAGAGACACGTCATGGCTTTCCAACATACAACTGAAGTTGTAGAGAAGTCTTTGGAAATTTGGAGTAAACTTATGACTTCTAGCGGGAATCACGCCAGGGTTTTGACACCGCTCGATCAAGCAAAGATCCCTTGCTTGAAACTTTGATAAATATTTATCTTATAAGATGAACACTACAAATACGAAACGATACAATTTAAATTTCCGCACGGTACAGGAGTAGTGCATTTGCGGAAACTTAACCTTACAAGTGATATGTATCAGACAAGATATTAATCATCACTTATGATGAGTTCGGAACATAAAATAATGACGGATGGCAATTGACAACAACTCCTTCACGCTTTAGATTATAATTCATCATCCACTCGTTCATGTTCCTTCCGTTTCCAACCACAGGATATATCGTGTAATTTACTTCATCGTTGGGTACGCATAGACCCTAAAAAGAGATAAGGAAAAATTAGCATTTTTTAGAAATATGTTAGCAAACACCAAAATCTACACAAAAATGAGGATACAGTTGCTATTGTTTTTTCAAATTTTATTAATACTATTTCAGCATTTTTAGTTGAAGTAAACTAGTTGAAACAAAAATTTTCAGACTATTTTTCTGGTAGAAACAGTCATGTACAATTTTGTAACCTGAACGTTTTGTTTGGTTGCTTTTATTTGTCTTGTCTCAGTTTTGTGTTTGCCTTTAAAAAAGATTCATTTAGAGTCTAAAGCTCACAGGCTAGTTAAAAACTAGTTTTGCGCTGTTGGCTATCATTTTAATATGATTGCAATCCATGACACGAAGGATCCATTACACTTGAAAGGACTGTTATTCACCATATGATTTGTATTATATATATATATATATATATATATATATATATATATATATATATATATATATATATATATATATATATATATATATATATATATATATGTGTGTGTGTGTGTGTGTGTGTGTGTGTGTGTGTGATTATGATTTTTAACGTAGTTTTAAAAAAAAGTTCGGTCATGTCGCTACGATGTCTGCAGTGTAGCAGTTTATAGTGATGTCTAGCACTGGGGCATCATGCCGCAGATATGTAGCATGATGTGTCACACTGTCACATTATCCTGACACTAGGCCAACCAGTCCTAATACTAAACTCTTAATGCTCAGCGTCAAGTGAGGCAGCTGTTAATACCATTTTTGCATGTCTTTGGTATGACTCTCCCGGGGATCAATCCCACGACCTCCCGCATTCGAGGCGGAGGCTCTAACCACTGGGCCACCGGAGCAGTTTATTATTATTATTATTATTATTATTATTATTATTATTATTATTATTATTATTATTATTATTATTATTATTATTATTATATTAAATTGGTGCATTTACGCCGTTCATTTGTCTTCTTATTCCGGATGCAATTACGCATTTCTTCCTTACTTATTTACGCTGTTCGTCTGTCTTATTATACCGTATTCAAATATACCTCTCATCTATCTCCTGATTCTGGACTCATTTACGCCATTCGTATATCTCATTAATTTAGAATAATTTTTGATATTCGTCCATTTCCTTATTTCGGTGCCCCGTATAAGCTTGTTTAAAAGTAGCAAAAGAAAATAGTGAAGCCAACAAACTTTGTAAATTTTAATAAAATAATTTATTTCCCTAGAAAACAAAGTAAAAATGTGAAAAAGGACTTAAGGTTTGTGAATATAATCCAAATAATAATCGTAAAATTGAAAAATAAAAGTCCTATCACTAAACAGTTCTAGTTGAAATCAGGTTCGAATCTAGATGAAGTTCCAATATGGACCAAGATGATGTCAGATGAGGTCGTTGTACTAACGACAGCAGTTCCTCGTTGAATCACATTTTATAATATTCTGTTTAGAATAAATTTCCACTAAATGTCTTTGTCTTAGAATTTTATAAAGAAAATCACTTGTGTGTTTTCCAGAGAATATGAATGATAAAATCCCCAAAAGTGTATGAACTTCAGTGCAAATTGGCACCAACAAATTTAGAAACACCTTGAGCTTTAACGGTGAAAAAATACGACTGAAACATCTACTAGAAAATGACTTTCTTAAGCAGGAAGTTTAGATCACATAGTGGCTCACGTGACTGGGCTACATGGTCACTAATCTGAACAGCACAATAAAAAATATGCCATTTATAACGTAACCTAGAATAGCCCCATCTAAAAAAAATAAGATTCTCACGCTGAAAATAAATTTTAAAATAAAACTGTTTACAACAGACTGACATTTGGGCCGAACATGACCTTTGTAAATTGCCAGTCATTTTCACTATGTGTTAATATGAATTCGCGAACCAAGGTCAGTTAACAAAAAAACTGTAGCAGCAATATTACTTACTAGAATGTCAAATCCAGTAAAAATTATCATTAAAATAAAATGTAATGAAACAAATTCTGAAAAAAGAAATTTATAACTTACGCATAAATAATTTAATTACATAAGTTTAACACTAGATACATTTACACCATTTGTCTATCTCCTATATTCCGGATTCATTTACGCCATTCATCTGTCTCATTATTCCGTAAACATTTACTAAATCCTTCTATCTCCTTATTCCTGACGCATTTACGCCATTTTTCTATTCCTTTATTTCTGATGCATTTACGCCATTTTTTCATCTACTTTTTCCCGATGCATTTATGCCTTTCGTCTACGCCCTTATTCCTGATAGATTTACGCCATTCATCTATCTCTTTATTCCGTATACATTTACACAATATTTTTCTCATCTTATTCCTGATGCATTTACGCCATTGGTTCTTTTATAAAAAAACAAAAACACTTTTATTCATTTAAATCAAAGCTATAAAACATAGACCTAATTTAGAAGACTGGTAAATTAATTACTAAACCTTCAAACGTCTTATCATTTTTAGCGTGCTATCAAGTAATTTATCTTTCTTTTAAATGCAGTATTTTATTACAATTCAACGTGTTCTATTTAAAATTAAAAATTAACTTTCTTAACAGTTCTTAACAGATGAAATATATTAATGTCTACTGTAATATGTTTCAATGTTAAACGGAAAGCAAAAGCATAGGGAAGAGAAGACTAAATATTCTAATGTGAGAATCGAGGGTTGCAAAGCGATACAATAGGTGAGATTTACCTTCTCTCATAGTGTTTTGTTACTAACTTCATGACACAACTGTGTAATAGACTTAAATAGCCTCATGAAATTCGTACAAATGTCAATCAAATATTACAGCTTTTTCCTCCAAGCACGCGCATTCGTTTTTCAACATTTCTAGATAGTGTGTGACAAACAGAATTGAAAGTTCACTTGCAGGAAGATTTCAACTGTGAATTTGATGCTATGAATCATTCTAAGTTACAAAATGACTATGTATAGTTTTAAATGTAATAGCTGTATATCATGTATAGTAATAAAACACATCAAAGAGTATTTTCTCGGAGACTTTTTTTAAAACGTAAACATGACTAAAATGCATTGAAATAAATACGATTATAATACAAGGAAACACATTTAAGTGAAATGAACATATTGAAAATGTTCTTTAAATCATATCGTGGTTCTCTGCATTTACATGTAGAGACATTTGGCACAATGAGACTGAATTAATATTGTCTACATGACCAGAAATCATTGATTTTTTATTTATGTAAACAACTAATACGTAGCTTAACTTCTCTATATGAGCGTGTCTTTAATATTAGAACCATTATCTTAGTTTGAGTCAGTATTTTAGGTTTACTATATACATTACTATAATTTTAGTAACAGACTTTGTCTAATTATTCCTTGGATTGTTCTAGAATTGAAGTTTTGTACCACATCCTGTCTCTTCTTTTGTGTCTTATCTTTATGTATATAATCTTACTCGCATATAGAACTTACTCTTTCATGCTATTAGATCTTGAGACAGAATCATTGTTGGTTTCTGTGTTTGATTTAGGATGAATTTATTTATTCAAATTATTATTCATTGAAAAAAAAAAACAAAGTATTCTATAATATTTTTGGAAAGACATTAACTAGGAATCATAGAAAATTAAAACAAAGTAACCTTGGATTATATTACTATGATGCAACAAACGACCTCATCTAATTTAAGTTCCCGTCATCGGAACATTAGTGATTACTGTCAACTATACGCATATGAACACCTTCAGCGTTGGAAATTATTAGGAATATCACTAAAATGTTTTCAAAAACTTTATTCATTGCGAAATGTGTTAGAAATTATAGCATTATCTGGGATTTGATTCGCAACACCGTAAGTTGCTTTTACATTTTGACTTTGTATACTTGGGTAATAAATTAATTGTTGAATTTTACAAGCTTGCTGCCTATATATCTAGCGAGTGATGTAATTCTGTGTTGTTATTATATAATTAATGAATATTGTGTCTGAATCAGGGTGGTAATATAGTTAATGAAAAATTCGTATTAGTTAGGGTATTTTACATTTAGCATTAAATATCTTTCTTTTCTTGCCTAAATCAGACTTCCAAAAATGAAAATAGAAAAATGATTAATATAACCAAAGTAAGAATTGGAAGCAAAAAGCAACTATTTACAGAACAACCCCCCTCTCTCTCTCTGTCTGTCTGTCTGTCTGTCTGTCTGTCTGTCTGTCTGTCTGTCTGTATGTATGTATGTATGTATGTATGTATGTATGTATGTATGTATGTATGTATGTATGTATGTATGTATGTATGTATGTATGTATGTATGTATGTGTATTTAAAATGCAAACAACGTTCATTGTAACTAAAGAATTATAAAAAATAACATTTTAAATAACACGTGCATTTCAATGCGCAACTTTTATTATGATAAAATACTATAGATCTTATATCAATCAAGACATAAATGCAATGTTTTTAATTAACCGTCATTATGAGCACCGAATGATCCTTTAACTTCTTTTCGCAAGTACCGTATACCTGCATGAACCCAGCCAATCACATTTAAGTGATACGGTTCATGTTCTGCAAAAGGTGATATTTCATGCATCAGTTTGCTCGATGAAACATGGTAAATGAGATACCAATTCATCATGCTATTTCATTTTACTAGATGAGTGATCAGCAGATAATCATACTATATATATATATATATATATATATATATATATATATATATATATATATATATATATATATATATATATACATACCAAGAAAACCCAAAATCTGTCAAAATAAAGCATTGAAGAAAAAGTAGGAAGTCAACGCTTTTCGTTCAAATAAATAAAGCGCGTTAGTTAATGTCATGTGAATAATTTAGCAGATGACGACTGTCATTGCATCGCAATTCCTAATTCAAATTGGTATTGAGGTGTCTACAGTTGGATGGACAACGTGACTGCTTTTACTGGATCTTGGAATCGCTTAAAACTTGTCTCTACAATGGTCTATTCAATATTCATATCACTGGTGGTCTTCAGTTTGATTTTTATGCAAGATACATCTGGACACGGGGCATTAATAGAACCTCCAATGCGTTCGGTCTTATGGAAATATGGCTTTGATGCACCGATTAATTATAATTACATGGAACTATATTGTGGAGGATTCCAGGTAATTCATTCTTTAACAAGATCATACTACTTCTGCTGTCACTACAACTACTGCTGCTGATGCTTTGCTGCTGCAGCTAAAATTACTACTGATACCGCTATTATATTTACTATTTCAACTTCTACAATCACTACAACTATGACAAACACCAGTACTTACTTATTAATAATAATTAAAATACACTTTTGCTGCACAATAATCAAGTCAGTGAAATGTAGAGTTTGTGTGGAAGTTAATCAAAAACGGCCATTTAAGAATGCTAATTTTAAATGAACTTTTCACGTGAGTCGCACTCCATGCTAATTTTGCAGAATCTCGAAGTGTAACGATTTTTCGGTATGTACGTTTAGCAGGTGTTTCCGCTTTCACAAATTTATTGTAACTACTTATTTTAAAAAAGCACCACTACCCCCTCAAGAAAACTACAAACAGCAACTTACCTCTTGAAGTTCGCGTATTGTGCCTAGTCGAGTTTGGTGCAAAATTAAACAATTAGAATATAGTAAATACGATGAACAAACTATATAGATTTGACTTTGGTCTATTGATAAGCCAGAAACTGAGAACAACTCACTTTCAAAATGAAAGATTTCTGGTCCTGATAATATCAGCAAGAATTTAGTTAAATATTAGACTTTTCATCTGCAAAACCATATGACTTTTATTTAACATGTTTCAACATCACGAT